TGGAACCTGGGTCACAGATGTTGTAGACGACCTGACCAACCCTTAAGTGGAGATGCCAAGAGAGGGTACGCTGGTTGGTTACTTGTGGTGCAGAAGTGGGCATCTTCCACCTCCCTCTGTCCCCAGGGTAGAAAGGAGTTTCTAGGCCTACTCTTGGGACAGGACAGTGAACCTTTGGAGCTCTCATATTCCTATTCCTGGTGGCCTAAGAAATGATGGGGCTGCTGGTGGGAGAAGATGCCCTCTGTTCAGCCAGCTCAAGCTCTGTCCTCGCTGCTTGAACCGTATGCTGATGTCAGTAGCACTTTGACCCTCTCATCAGAGACGTGTGGAAGGGAATGAATTTTCAGCTTCCAGTACTCAAGTGCACCCTTGGGAGGTAGTGGGCCTGGTGGTTTCTTCCCTGCCCCTGTCCATGCTTGTGAGACACCTAGAGACTCAGGAACTTTTCTAAGCCCAAAGCCCCAGCACAGGACTCTACCCTGAGAGGCCCCACTTCAGCTAGAACCTCTGGCAGATTTGCAACCCTGGCCTCAGGCCAAGCAAACCACAGATTCTTTTGCTCCATGCTTGTGATGGGCTAAGAACACCTGCAGAAACTTTCAACCCTCTGACCTGGGGAAGGAAGGGATAGGAAGAGACCCCAAATAGGGTCTGGCCATGTGGGATGCTTCCCTTGCCCTGGTTTGCCTTAGATCATCTCAAGGTTGCTGAGGAAGAGGGAGAACTCATCTCTGCTGGCCAAGTTCAACCCCACATGGTAATCTGTGCAGACCTAAATCAGGACCCAGATGGCCATTGCTGAGCTCATGCTCTCCCTGACAGGTGTGCGGGCCCCAGTGAGCATCTTGCAGAGCTGGAACACACTCTTCCCCACTACTGAGGCTACTAGTAGTGTAGCTGCCACAGCTGTGTCCCACACCACCATCCTGCGCCTCAGTCTTAACTATGCACAGTGGGAGGAACTGGCTAGCTGTCCACAGAGCTGTTCCCTGTCAGTCCTTGCACTCTGAGAAAGACCACATTGCCTTTGAGGCAGCCTACCAGATTGCCACTGATGCTGCTGCCAGTGGCATGACCCATTCATAGCTGTTCACCATTGTCTGCTACGTGGAGCTCTGTGGCTACACACTCCCTACCTTCAAGCTGGCCTCATTGGCCATGATCTATCATAACCTGGCCTACAACCAGGATACCCACCCAGCCATCAATGATGTGCTCTGGGCTTGTGCCCTCAGCCACTCTCTAGACAAGAAGCGGCTAGCAGTTCTCATCTTCCCGGTGGTGAAGAGTGTGCACATTGCCATGGTGCTTTTCAGACATCCTGTCTGCAGGCCGTATGGTGACTGCACCTGGCCTGGCCGGCACCCCAGGCCACCACAGCTCTGGAAAGCTCATGTCCATGGACAAAGCTCCATTGAGCCAGTTTCTGATGCCACCCTCAATGCTTATGTCAACACCACACTCTAACACACATCAGCCCTCACCAGTATGGAGAGTTCATTGAGTTTCTAAGCAAGGCTTGGGAGACTGTCCGCTGCCCCAAGATGGCCACCCTCAATTTGCCCAGTTTATCGACAACCTCAAACAGATCTACAAAGGCAAGAAAAAGCAACGTTGTTGATTGGAGAGCCCTTTGGCTGAGAAAGCAGATTGCTCACTGCCCCGGCAGCCTGGGTTCCCAGGTAGTATTAGGTCAGGCCAAAGACACTGACACATTTGTCCACCCTGAGATGACTCGGACCGCCTGTGGCTGAGGCCAAAGGACCTCAGGGCTAAGGATGGGGAGAGTCCAACTCTAGTCAATACAGCCCACTGTTCATAGAGGAGCTGGGCCCAGCAGGTCGAATAGAAACCCCATGATATGCCACGTCCTGCCCCTATATTCTGCGTGTTCTGGTCTTGGCCCTGTCTTCCTTGGCAAACACAGAATACTGTTCCATCTCAGAGATTGCTTAACCAGAGAAACAGATGCATTTATGGTACAGTAAATACTATAGTACATATGTTGCCAATGATTGTAAATTTGTAACTATTTATGGTTCTGGTTCTGATTTGATGGGCCCTTGAGGTAGCTGTGGGTGGGAGGATATGCTTATTGGCTGAGTAGACTCACAACCATTTCTCAGGTATCCCTGGCAGAGGGTATGCTGTTAGCAATGGAAGAGTGGGGGGTGCCAAGGAGAAAAACAGCCAATTAGAGAAAATCCCAAGACTAGTCTGTGCATAATTCCTCACCTGCAGACAGGGCATTAATAGCCCAGTGGTGGGTGAGGGGCAGAGGCCAGGACTGAACTCAGACTTTTGCCTCACAAAGCTGTGAGGACCCTGAAGCTTCTGCTCCTGCCTCACACAGCCTCGCCAGGAGTTGGCTGAGCGCATGAGAAACAAGTGCAGGGATATGAAGGTCTGGGAAACCACTAAGCTCATAATATTTATCTATTCTGGCCACCTTTGTGTTAGATAGTGTGTGGTTTCATTTGCAATTGTGTGTGTGTGTCTGTATGGCTAAGTATATATGTCTACGTGTATAGACACGTCTGTGCATGCCTGTCTGTATGCGTGTGTGTGTGTGTGTGTGTGTGTGTGTGTGTATTTGTTTTTGGAGATGGAGTCTTGCTATGTCTCTCAGGCAGGAGTGCAGTGGTGCGATCTTAGCTCCTGGGTTCAAGAATTCTCCTGCCTCAGCTGCCCGAGTAGCTGGGACTACAGGCGCATGCTGCCATGCCCGGCAATTTTTTGTATTTTAATAGAGACAAGGTTGCCCAGGCTTGTCTCGAACCCCAGAGATCAGGCAATCCTCTCACCTCAGCCTCCCAAAGTGCTAGGATTATAGGCGTGAGCCACTGCGCCCAGCCTTTATTTTTGTGTGTCTGTGTCAGTTCTGTGGCTACGTACCTGTGTGGATATGTGCACACCGGACTGAGTTTCTGTGTGAGGATGTAACATTTGCGTACACATGAGGATGCATATCTATGTGTAAATGCTCTCATGTTTGTGCATGTTTAGTGTGTATGTGTGTCTATGTGTAAATGCTTTCATGTTTATACATGTTTATGAGTATATATATCTCATATTTAGTGTGTATGTTTATGTCTACACGAGTGCATGTGTAGACATATGTTTGTGTCTGTGTGTATGCTTGCTCCCCATGCATCTTTTTTTTTTTGAACTTCCGCCTCCCAGGTTCAAGCAATTCTCCTACCTGAGCTTCTTGAGTAGCTGGGATTACAAGTGTGCGTCACCACGCCCAGCTAATTTTTGTATTTTTAGTAGAGACGGGGTTTCGCCATGTTGGTCAGGTTGGTCTCGAACTCCTGACCTCGTGATCCACTTGCTTTGGCCTCCCAAAGTGCTGGGATTACAGGCGTGAGCCACTGCGCCTGGCCTTGCATTTGTGTTTTTTATATGTGTAACTGAGCGTAGTTCTACATGGACCCATGTCTGTGTGTTCATCTTTGAGGATCTACGTGAATGTGTCCCTTTGCCAGATTTCTCTTCCCATTCCTCTTAAATGGCTCTGACCAGCGAAAGGTTTGTTACCCATCTCTGTGTGTCCTCTACTCATTCTTTCTCAGCAAATGAGCTTCTAAGCACCAGTCTCCCTCTGCCATCAGATTGGCTTCTTTAGCTGCACAGTTCTCTTCTCCCCCTGTGCTTGCTTTCTTCCCCTGCCTTTCTATCTCAAGCTTCCTCTCCCTGCTTTTGTCACAGTCTCATTGCTCACTGACTTGGAGGCTAGGGCTGGTCTGCACTTAGCCTCTCCCTTCCTAATTTCTAGCCCTAGTGGGCAACCCTGTCTTATCCCTGGCTGACGTCCACAGTGTATCATCATGTTCCTGCTACCTTCTTGACCCCTATGCTCAGCCTAGAATTGTTGTAGGAGGTAGCAAGGGCATTCAGAAGAGTCAGCTGGATACCAGTACCTTGGTGCTTACTGTTTCATGTCTTAGTTCCTGAGTTGGGGGTGGGGTTTGACAGTGAAGGGGTGGTGTAGCTAGAATGTGAACTAAGACAAACTGTCACTATTTTCACACCAAACTGACCAAGAAGTTGTATTTGCTGTTTGTGCCTACTCAGGTCTTACTGTCCAGTCAAGGGCCCCTAGAACGTCACACCCTAGAACGTCACAGCCCAATGGGTTTGTTGAGAGAGAGAGAGAGAGAGAGAGAGAGAGAGAGAAAGAAAGAAAGAAAGAAAGAAAGAAACACTCTAACTTATGGATTGCAGGAAAGATCATTTTTCTTAAAGGAAAAAAAAAAGAGAGAGAGAGAGAGAAATTCCCTAAATCCATAGGGGACCAGGAAGTAATTAATAGATTATAGATTTCCTGTGAGTGCATATGGCTGGGGGTGACCTGATGTCATAAACCAAATGTCATTTTCCTCCTCAAATTCATGTGTTGAAATCTAATTCCCTGTTTGATGGAATTTGGAGGTGGGGCCTTGGGAGGTGATTAAGTTCATGAAGGCAGGAACCTCATGAATGGGATTGGTATCCCTATCAAAAGGAGCACAGGAGCTCCCTCATCCCTTCTGTCCTGTAAGGACACAGTAAGAAGATGGCTGTTCTATGAACCAGGAAGCCCCTCTCTTCAGACACAGAATCTGTGACCATTGACCTTGGATTTTACCATCTCCAGAACTGTGATAAATAAATTTTATATACTATCTAGTCTATGGCATTCTGTATTGACACCCAGATTAGTTAAGTACCAGCATATCAACTTGTACACATAATTCTTGGAAACTCCAATGCCAGGTCCTTGATGGCAAATGTGATTGATCTGCTGGAGAAATGAATCTACCTTATTCCTCTCTCCACAATAAACCAGAGATTCAAAACAGGCAAAAGTGGGTCAGGATCTTCTAAAAGCCATACCTGAAAGGTTTCCAGTAACAGTTGATTCGATGGTAATTCACACAGACAACCACAACAAAAAGACACAACTATCAGCAATTTTCAGGATAGTCTGAAACATATGATCTAACATTAGAGAGAGAAAAAAAAGACATGAAAGTTTCCAAAAGCCAAACTTTATTTAAAAGTTTATTTGATGAACTGCTAATTCTAACACTATGACTATAAGCCAGGGCAGGTGGCTGCATGGAGAGCCGGGGCCATAAGAGTTTGAAAGGTTTAGTTCCTGTAGCTTTTGGACCCACCCCCCTGGTCCCCTCACCTGCTGCCCATCTGTTAAGAAAAGGCCATTCTGGGCAGGACATCAGGGAGGCCAGATGCCCAATTGCAGAGAGACCTCCATGCCTGGAGGAGGAGGCTGCCTCTGGGAGCAGGAAGAACTGCTGGAACCCTTCCTCAAAGGCTTCTTTTCCTGATCTCAGGCGCCTACTCCATGCACATAGATACCACCAGCACCAACAGAAGGAAGCGTTCCTGCAGCAGCAGGACTGTGGCTCTTGTGAATGAGAGAAGCCTCTCTCCAGCGAGGGAGAGGAGCCCAGGCTGCACACCCTGGTTTCCGCCTCCATGGCTCCCAGCGTGCCCAGAACTAGGGGCAGTATTGGAGCTGCTGGCTGGGGCTGTGCTGGCCACCCCCTCTCTGAGGCCAGTGGTGACAGCAGGTGGCAGGCTGTCAGGCAGCTCCTCTCTGGGATAGTCCGGCTCCTGTGATGTCTCTGCAGGGGAGGCTTCTCTGAAGTTCTCGTATTTCAAGTTTTTGTACTTCAGGAGTTGAAAAAGGTGAAAGAGTCACCAATGTGGAAACGACTTCACTGAATCGAAAGGAATTCCGGCCCAAAACACCACCCCCAAAAAGTCTTCCAGACTGCAGGTCACCTCACCATGTGCCTGTGCCTCCATGTGCTCTGGATTGTGCAGCTGGACAAGGACAATATACCGATGCAACCCTGATGGGCTCTCTGATGAGAACTGGCTTACGAGGATCTGCCCTGGGCTGCCATGTGGCACCTGGGTGCGCCTGTGTCTAAAAGGCCATAAGCGCCTGGGGTGAGAGATGAGCCTTTGTCGGCAGTGACGAAAAAAGCTCTCACTCCTGCCATTTTTGAAGCAGGAGCCTCGATTCGTGGGGATGCAGCATGAGAACATCTTGCTCTCTTGAGTGTCTCCCACCAAGTGAGCTGGCTATGGTGCTGACTCTAGGATATGGGTGCCTGGTTACCAGAGTTCTAAGTTCTGTTTGGGTCTGTCATCAAGGAAGTGAGGTCGATTCTTTAGGGTTCCGTCCTGTCGGCCCCTTCCTTCCATAAGACCTACTCAGGACTCCAGTGGGCTGCTGACTGCTGACCCTCCCCGCAGGTCAACTCCTTACCTGTACACATTTATGTCCACCCAGGGCATGCTTGAACATCTACGCCTGATGTTCACTAGAGGCTGGATGTCCTCCTTAGGCCTGATTTCCACCTAGGGCCTGATGTCTGCCTTGGGCCTATGTCCCACTTGGGACCTTGTGTTCACCTGGGGACTGATATCCAGCTGGGGCCTGATGGTCTGTTGGGTCTTGTTCACCTGAGGCCTGTTGGCCACCTGGGTTCTGGTGATCACCTGGGACCTGGGTATCAACCTGGGGCCTGGTTGTCTACTTAAGGCTAGATGCGTACCTGAGGCCTGAGTCTCACCTAGTCCTGGTAATCACCTGGGGACTGGGTGTATACCTTGGGTCTAATTCCACCTGGACCCTATGTATCTACCTAAGGCATGTTGGCTACCTGCGACCTGATGTCCACATGAGTCTGGTGTTCAACTTGGGCATGCTGGCCACCTAGGGCCTTGGTGTTCATCTGGTGCCTGGTTGTTGGGGCCTTGTTTACACCTTGATTCCAGGGTCTACCTGGGGTCTGATGTCTGTCCCGAGTACTGGTATCCTGTGGTGGGATGATGGTGGAGCCCAGGAGGTCGAGGCTGCAGTGAGCCGTGATTGCACCACTGCACTCCAGCCTGGGTGACAGCATGAGACCCTGTCTCAAGTAAACAAACAAACAAACAAACAAATAAATAAATAAACCAAAACCCACGCAAATTATATAGCTGTATAAAAATATTTTATTTCTTTATAAACTTTTTCTATCAGGATTTTTCTATTATTTATTTATTTTTAAAACTTTTTTGTTAAAAACTAAGACACAAACACACACATTCACCTAAGCTTAAGCAGGGTCACGATCATGAGTATCACTGTTCTCCACCTCCACATCTTGTCCCACTGAAGGTCTTCAGGGGCAGTAACCAGCATGGAGCTGTTATCTCCTATGATAATAATGCCTTCTGGAAACCTGAAGGAACTCCCTGAGGATGTTTCATAGTTGACCTTAAAAAAAAATAAGTAGTAATACTCTAAAATAATAAGAAGTGTAGGATATTAAATATCTAAAACATTAACATCATCTTTTTTTTATTTGTGACAAAGTCTTACTGTGTCACCAGGCTGGAGTGCAGTGACGCGATCTTGGCTCACTGCAACCTCCGTTTCCTAGGTTCAAGGATTCTCCTGCCTCAGTGTCCTGAGTTTCTGGGATTGCAGTCATGTGCCACCACACCTAGCTGAGTTTTGTATTTTTAGTAGAGACAAGTTTCACCATGTTGGCCAGGCTGGTCTCAATCTCCTGACCTCATGATTTGCCTGCCTCGGCCTCCCAAAGTGCTGGGATTATAGGTGTGAGCCACCGCGCCCAGCCTTAATTTGCTTTTCCTTAGTGTAAAGTGCATTACTTTTTCTCCTAATTCCCCAATGTTCACCATATCTTTATATACTTATTTTCCATCAGAATAACTACTATTGGGAGGTGTTACTACATATATTTGTCCATTTGTTAAGTGTAGTTTATTTTCTTACTGTTGAATTTCACAAGTTGTTGGCATATTTTACACACAAGTTCTTCAGATATTTGTTTTGCAAAGACTTTCTTTAAAGATAAGTCTGGCAAGAATCCCCTGTCTCACCACTCCTATTCAGTCGAGAGAGAGAGAGAGAGAGAGAGAGAGAGAGAGAGAGAGAGAGAGAGAGAGAGAGGAGAGAGAGGAGAAAGAGAGAAGGGAGAGAGGAAGGAAGGAAAAGAAAGAAAAGGAAAGAAAGAGAAAGAAAAGAAAGAAGTATTCAGATAGGATGAGAGGAAGTGAAATTGTCTCTGTTTGCAGATGACATGGTTCTATTTTTAGAAAAACCTATCATCTCAGCCCAAAAACTCCTTAAGCTGATATGCAACTTCAGCAAAGTCTCAGGATAAAAAATCACTGTGCAGTAATCACAGGCATTTGACACCAACAATAGACAAGCGGAGAGCCAAATCATGAATGAACTCCCATTCACAATTGCTACAAAGAGCACAAAATACCCAGGAATACAGCTTACAAAGGACTTGAAGGACGTCTTCAAGGAGAGCTACAAACCACTGCTCAAGGAAATAAGGAGGACACAAACAAATGGAAAAACGTTCCATCCTCATAAATAGGAACAATCAATATTGTGAAAATGGCCGTACTGCCCCGGGTAATATAGATTCAATGCTATGCTCATCAAACTACCATTGACATTCTTCACAGAGTTAGAAAAAAACTACTTTAAATTTCATATGGAACCAAAAAAGAGGCTGTATAGCCAAGAGGATCCTAAGCAAAAAGCACAAAGCTGGAGGCATCACGCTACCTGACTTGAAACTGTACTATAAGGCTACAGTAACCAAAACAGTATGATACTGGTACCAAAACAGACATATAGACCAATGGAACAGAGCAGAGACCTCAAAAATAACACCACACATCTACAACCATCTGATCTTTGACAAAGGCAAGCAGTGGGGAAAGGATTCCCTATTTAATAAACGGTGCTGGAAAAACTGGCTAGCCATATGCAGAAAACTGAAAGTGGACCCCTTCCTTACATGGTATACAAAAATTAACTCAAGCTGGATTAAAGACTTAAATGTAAAACCCCAGACCACAAAAACTCTAGATGAAAACCCTAGTCAGTATCATTCAAGGACATAGGCATGGGCAAAGACTTCATAACTAAAACACCAAAAGCAACCGTAACAAATGCCAGAATTGACAAATGAGATCTAATTAAACCAAAAAGCTTCTGCACAGCAAAAGAAACTAACATCAGAGTGAACAGGCAACCTACAGAATGGGAGAAAATTTTTGCAATCTACCCATCTGACAAAGGTCTAATTTTCAGGCTCTACAAGGAACTTAAACAAATTTACAAAAAAAAAAAAACAAAAAAAAAAAAACATCAAAAAGTGGGCAAAGGATATGAACAGACACTTCTCAAAAGAAGACAGTGTGGTGATTCCTCAGGGATCTAGAATCAGAAATACCATTTGACCCAGCAGTCTTATTACTGGGTATATACCCAAAGGAATATAAATCATTCTACTGTATAGACACATGTACTTGTATGTTTATTGTAGCACTCTTTATAATAGCAAAGACATGAAACCAACCCAAATTCCCATCAGTGATAGACTGGATAAAGAAAATCTGGTACATGTACACTATGGAATACCAGACAGCCATAAAAGAGAGATCATGTCCTTTGCATGGACATGGATGAAACTGGAAACCAACATCCTTGTTTGTTTGGGGGGTGGGATTTATTGGCTCTGTAAGCAGAACATCAACTTTTGCACATTTATAAAGTCAGATTGTTGGCGGGGAGCAGTGGCTCATGCTTATAATCCCACCGCTTTGGGAGGCCAAGGTGGATTGATTGTCTGAGGTCAGGAATTCGAGACTAGGCTGCCTAACATGGTGAAACCCTATCTCTACTAAAAATACAAAAATTAGCCAGGCGTGGTGGTGGGCGCCTGTGATCCCACCTACTCGGGAGGTTGAGGCAGGAGAGTTGCTTGAACCCGAGAGGTGCATTGTTGCAGTGAGCTGAGATCGTGCCACTGCACTCCCGCTGGGGCATCAAAGAGAGACTCCATCTCAAAAAAAAAAAAAAAAAAAATCAGATTGTCATTCTCTTCCTTATTGCTTTTAAGAGTTTTTTAAAATGTATTCTTGATATAAGTCCCTTGTCAGATAATTGTGTGGCAAATACCTTCATCCAGTGTGCCTTAAATTTTCTTCTTTTGAAGAACAAAATTCTTAAGTCTAATTCATCAATCTTTTTTCTAACGGTTAGTGCTGTTTGTATTCTGTGTAAGACCTGGTTTATTTCAAGATATTGAAGATACTGTCCTATGTCTTCCTGTGAAAGTTTTATTCTTCTTTCACACTAAGTAGAAACTGTCTTTAAAATCACTTGCTCCTACTACATTTTTACAACATTTTGCTAAACCTTTCAAAGACTCTGGTACCACAGCACTCCCTTCCCAGCCTCAAGCCTTTTGGGGAGGTGGGGACAGAGAAAGAAAGAGGCTGGCGAGGAAAACCCAGCTTCAGCCAAGCAAGACCTAGCCCAGATATTAAATTAGCACAGCAGGGAGTCTCTCTCTGTCATATCAGCAGTCAGATGTCTTAAAACCAGAATCTACCCAGATTATATATATCTTGTATCTTTGTCATTACCTTTTTTTCACTTCATGTCAAAAAAAAAAAAAAAGAAAAGAAAAAGAATTCCAGCACTGAGGCAGGAGGATTGCTTGAGCCCAGGAGTTTAGCTCTACAGTGAGCTGTGATAACGCCACTACACTCCAGCCTGGGTATCAGAGGGAGACCCTGTTTGAAAAGAAAAGAAAAGAAAAGAAAAGAAAAGAAAAGAAAAATCTATTATATTACTGACCGGTAATAGAGGCTCCCAAAGTATAAACTTGCCTTAGACTGTTTGTTCTTCCTCCTATTCTGTCCACTCTGCCTCTGCCCATTCTGAGGCTGGACCATGCCACGAAGGAAGGCCCCTCAGTTACAGCTTCCCCAGCTCATCAGCCACACTGCTGAGGACACTGGAAAGAGTAAGCAGCTGGAGGGAGGAGGCTACCTGCAGGAGGTTTAGCATAAAGAAAATAGGAATGATAATGAGAAATTAAAGAAAACAGTTAAAAAGAGCAGTTATTGAAGAATGACACCACTGATCCCCCACCTGACAGAAATTGACGAGGCAACTGCCAGAGTGGATATGAAAAGGCAATTCCCATTTTTAATAGTGCTCTTTTATGATCTAACCTTGTTGTA